TCCTGTCCCCTCCTCAGCGCTTCCCACCCACCCACCCAACCGTCATGTGCAGCGAGAAAGGAAACAGCCCCGAAGAAACACGCCGGGCTGAGTTTCCATCTGGGCACGGTATAACTCAGCCCCAGGAATGGCCAGACACGCTATGATCTCCCACTCTCCGAAATCAAAGCAAGGCAAAAGCCGGCTCTCCTTTTTCTCTGTTGCCAAGGGCTAGAAATCCCATCAAGATCCAAAGCGTATCATTCCACTGGGAGATTTATACTGGGGGAAGGGACAGAATTGGTTATTTGATGACTGGGGTTTTTTTAAGTCCTTAATATCTCCCTCCCCTCCTTCACTGTACAGCACAAATCCCCTTTCCAACACATGCGCGAGAGCAGAGCTGAACCGTTCACACAGAAAACAGGTGATAAATCACGGGGCAATTGATTCAAACCATTCCAGGGAATGGGAAACACATGGACGGTCTTTCTAATTAACTGTTTGATATGGCTGCGGTGAGTTTGGGTGTAGTTTCCAATGTTTTGCATTTGGCTTGTTTCAGACCTCTCCATGGTAACTGCAGTTTACCGGAAAGTGAGAAAATCCTGCATTCGAGAGAGCTAAGTGACTTGTTACAGTTCAGCGCAACCACGATAAAAAAGCAAAAAAAGTAAATATGGTGTTTCCTCTGCGGGAACGTTCTCTTCTCTTTCTCTTTCCAGCTGGAAAAACAAAACAAAATAAAAGGTCTTTCTGCTTTATCTGTAAATCTCCAGTACTTATTCTCTGCTGGGTTGCAGAGAACTTGGACCCGCTGCCCTCCAAGACGCTTGCTGAGATTCATGGGTGAGTCCAAGGGCCAGCTGAGCAGAGCAAAGAGGCTCACTCGTCTCGCCCGCCTGGCACGCTGACCCTCCCTTCACATCCCTCCGCTCGCTCTGCCATCCGTACGTAAATGCCCAGCGGGGTACCCACGCACCCCCTCTTACCCCCCTTCCCTGTCAAGCTGCTAGCCACAAAACCCGGCAGGTGTTAGGCCGTGGATGCGCTGCGATCTCTTCCCATCCGAAACGTTCACGAGGGCGGTTCGTGTGAGGCTGCGTCTCATCTGAAACACGTCTGCAGGCTTCTTTTGGTTTGCGGTCCGGCGTCTCGTGCCAAGGTGTCTGTCGCCTTCTGTGTCTGGGGGGCTGCAAAGTGCCACCGCCGGCAGGACGCCGAGGGTCTCGGTGCGTTCAGCTACGCGCGGCAGCCCGTGAGAGGGCAGGCGTCACCTGGGATCTGTTGGGTCCCCAAGGAGCGCTCGTGCTGTCTAAGTAAATCTAGCCCGTTAATTCACGGTGAGTTCGCAGGGAACTCGGAAACGAGGCAAGGCTCTGTTGAGGACGCGGAGGGCTCCCTTTGCTGCACGCAGGTGGCTGCACCTTTGGGAAGGCGAGCAAGCCCAGGCACCCCGAGCGTTAAACGTGCACGCCTCTCCCGTGGGAAACGGGAGTCCCAGCCCGTTTTTGAGACGTGCGGCGGCCTGGGAGGATGGCTGCTTTGGTGCCCCCCGCGGCACCGAGCTCAGCACGGAGCTGCGCTGGAGGAGGAGGCGCTGGGCAGAAGGGCTCGGTGCCGCCGGCACAGCCCCGATAGCTGACGGAGGTGGCTGGGGACGGCCAGAGGACGGGGATGGCGAGGACAGGGCCACCTGAGTCAGTCTGGACTGGGTTAGTGAGACAACCTGGGCACACTCACCCCAAACCTATTCGGTTCGAGTACAGCCTGTGCTGCCTGCGTCTTCCATTTCCACCAGCCGAGAGTAGCCAGCACATTAAAATGTAATTTTAAAAGGAATAAAGGTTTAATCCATCTGTGTTTGAAAACAGTCCTTTCCCGTATCCTGCTTTTGGCACGTTCTCCCAGCTGGGGCATTGCACCTCACTCCATAACCTGGGCACAGCTGCTGCAGCCGGGGAGGGAGGTGAGAAGCAGCCCCCACCACGGGTATCCTGCACACAAACGAGGCACCAAGCGGCAAATCAAGTTTGGACGTTAATATTTTATTTTTTTATTGGCGCTTTTTTTTTTTTTTTTTTTCCATTTTACCCTTTCTGCACCGTGACTCCCCGGGGGCCCGGTGTAACATCTGGCCAAGCCACTTCTGGTTCCATTTATTGGCAGATAATTTATTTGAGGATCAGCAGGGAAAAGTGACCTAACCATTTATTGGAGGTATATTGGTTGACCCCTTGGTGATGCTGCTCGTGTAAGGGTTAGTTAGGTGCTTGGGGCCTGATCCAGATCCAAGGAAGGCAAATAGAGATCTTCCCTTTAAAATCCAGAGCTGTTAGATCTTCATCCAAAAACACTGGGGGAAATTAGTCAAATAAATGCTGTGTGAATATTATTGCATATTATTCATTCTCTGGGAATATTTTTAAGTATTATTCACTCCTGGTGCATATTGTTAAAGCAGCTCCCCCTCAGAGAAGGAAATCCAACCGTTTAAACCAATCTTATTCTCTTTTCTGTCCTTTTTATCTTTTCTGCTCGCTTTTTCCTTTCCGTTCCTCTCTTCAAACCTTTGCTCTCTTTTCACTGCCCTTCGCATCCGTGGCTGCCCCTCGGCAGCCCACAAGCCCGCTGGCGAGGCCGACGGCAGCCCAGACGCAGCGCGTGAGCAGGTTAGCGCAGGAACCGTCTTCTGGGTCTGGGCTCACGCAGCACCTCTCGCCGCAAGGGCCTGCCCGCGCCTGCGCTTGTGGTCTTCCTCTTGCTTATTTGCACTGCAGCGGTGAGCTCAACTCGTTGCGTTTGAAAGGTGTCAACAGGCTAATACTCACTTGTCAGCAGACTCTTCTAAGCTCTCTTAAGCTCTTCCAGGGGTGATGGATCGTGTTCAAATTCCGTTCCCCGTGTTTGGCTAAAATTATCCAGCTTTCAAAAATACAAATGATTTTTTTCCTTGCACAATCAAAAGCGTGGGCTTATTTTTGTTCGAATCAAAATCCAGAGGCATTTTCCAAGGAGGCATTTTGGAAAAATAATGAAAATTTCACAAATTTTGCAGCCAAAAGCAATTGACCCTTCTCCCCAGAGGGGAATTTCATTTACTTCTGGCATTGCCACACATACCAGTGGTCAACCCCATTGTACACGTGGCTAATAACAGTGTATAAAATGAAATAGGATTCTTTGCATTGGCTTTTGGGAACAACAGCTAGATTCCCTGCTCGCGCGAGCCTGTGCAGCAAGGCGAACGCTTCACGGCTAGGCACGTGCACCGCTCAGCGGCCGGGCCCCGGCGTGCCGGGGAGGGGGCTGCACATAGGCGATAATGCAGGCATGCCACCGCTCGCCGCTCAGGGGCTGCTGCAGAGGGAGAGGGAGAAGAAGGGAGCAAGTGTGGGAACTAGTGTGACCTGGGCAGGCTCCATCTTCCTTCTTTGCGTAGTTAACTCCTTCGTTCGCCGTGGTCCCCGCCAGGCCAGGATGCTCAGCAGCCCCAGGGAGCTTGGATGCGAAGAGCCTTTCCTTTTGCACTGGAATTTGCATCCTCAGGAACACGTCTTGGTTGTGGGGGGTGGGGAGGGGGAACTGTTTAGTTATTCCCAGGTCCTTTTTCTCCCAGCTGGACCGTATCCCACTCCTAGGAGCTTTGCTGAATCGGTGGTGGAAGCGCTCTTTCCTAACGTGCCCCGTGCAGATGGGACTGCGGTGTGGCCCAGGGTGAGACTCACCTCTCCTCCCAGGCTCTGACTCATGAGGAACAAGTTGAGGGTGAGAGTAAGGGATGAGGTGAGACCATACGCTTGGCCTCACCTTCCCCATCTCCCCTGGAAAGAGAGTGGTGGTCCACCCCCACTCTGGGGTGGTCTTGGGACATTGGGGCACAGCCAATCTGTTCGAGACCCTCCCATGAAAGCCGCTGCAGAAATGCATCACATGATTTTAGGCTGCCTTGGTTAGCTTTCAACACCCAGCGCTAAGGACTTTGGCCTGTGCCCGCTAGATGCTCAGGACAGCATGAGCTGGCCACCCATTCGGGCTCTGCGGGGGAGATTTTCATCCCACCAGCACAGGCCGAGCATGACGTCAGATCCATCCTGGCTCTGGGTTTTGTGGGAGATTTTCAGGCGTAGTGAGATCAGCCTTTCCTGCTTGTGACCAAATCCAAACAATAAAAAAAAAAGAAAGAAATGCAAGCCAAGAATGAAATCACTAAATGCTTTCATAGCTTGGTAGGGCCTCGGGCTGGGTTTCAGCCTTGGTGTCATTTGCCTCTCACTTTCTACAGCAGAGGAACCAGTGGGACTGTGCACTAGATAGACTGTTTATGGAAACGAACTGGTTTATCAAACATCTAGCCTCACTGATGGATATTTGTTTGGAAAAGGGTTAGCTCTAAATGATGGCGGATGTTGACTTCTCCACTTTCTTTGAACTTACTAGTTTGTTGGCCCCATTAAGGACATACTCACTTAGAGTGAGCATAGCTGGGATACCTAGGCGACCCTGCAGGCCCCGTGAGTTCCTCCCCGCTGGATATTCTGTGCTGCCTTTCCTGCAAAGAAATGCAGGCACCTCGCGCAGATTTATAGTTCAAAGAGAAAGAAGCTTCTCAAGCCTGGAGGTATTTGCCAAGCAGAGACGGGATTCAGACGGGATGCTTGGCTTCTGCTTTCCACCCCTGACTTACTGTGCAACCTTGCAGATCATTATATCTCCCTCGTCTCCTCTTTGGCCTGTGAAACACAGGCTATGATGCTGATGGAGATGCTGATGGAGATGCTGCTCAACGGCCCTGCAGAAAGCCAAGGGTCAGTGTTATTGAAGACGGTAGCAGCGATGATGCTTTCTTCGCAGAATCTTTCTGGGTTCCTGCATTACTAAATCCTTTGCCCTTTTAGTTTCTTGGGAAAGCATCTGGCTTTCAGCTCCATGTCTCTCCAATCTGTCATTTTACACAAATATACAAATATCCTTTTTTGGATGATGGATTGGGGCTGCACTTTGGCTTGGATCACACAGCTCAGACTGGAAGAGGGGCTTTGAAGCAGTGAAAATTTAACATTCCCATATCGCCAGCAGAACGGTGCGTGGGAGAGAAATACACGCGGGGAAACACAGACCCTGGCTCCTTTACTGGTCCAGCATCGTCCTATATAACGTTACACACGTTGTTAATTCACCGAAAGGGCATCATTACCTTCCTCTGCAGCAGGAGGGAGTGGGTTGGCTCCTAGGTGGATTTACACATCCTCTGGAGGACATGCTACTGGCTTTGCGGGGAGCCCAGGTGGACTGCCCCTAACGTGGACCCCTTGCTTAAATGCCTATAATGAAACGATTCAGGGCCGCTGTGGCTCCATGTAAACCCAGTCTGTGCTGCCAGAGTGATACAGTGCGAATGTAAGGCAGGGACACATTGGCTTCAAGGCAAAAAAACACTCTGCAGGGATTTGTTTCAGCCTCCCCCTTTCCAGAGTCACCGGGGCAGCGAGCGCATCGCCGGCAGGACCGGGAGCACGGGGCAGCGAGGACCGGGCGAGCCCAGCCCGCGGTTTGTCACCTGCAACGAGTGCTAGGGCTGTCTCGCTGCGGCCCAGGGCCTCTGCCCTCGCATGGGCGAGAGCTCCATTTGGGAAAGTGTTAGCAAGGACTCTGATGCTTTTGTGCTGATTTACTAGCTGAAGCTGTAAATCAGCACTTGTCGGAGGCTTGAGTTACGCGTCTCTGCCGCAGAGTGATGGAGCCAGCTGCCAGGGCGAATTAC